CTCTTTTCTGTATTGAAAATAGCAATTAAAATCGTGTTGATCACCGTACATAAATCGTTCTGGTAAAAAATTGTTACGTGGTGGGTGTATAATAAAGTTCCTCAAAGTTCAGCCCAGAATCCGTTGTAATGGTTATACCATCATGTTCCAGTTTTCTGGAATACATTGTGATGTTTCCTTCTCACCAGATTTTAACGTTTATTTCTATACAGCCGTAACTATGTCTCTCGAATTTTTATTTTTATTTCCCCACCCCAAATGTGACAGTTGAAGTACGTAGTTCCGTTTCCTTTACAACGTATGTGATGGCCGTACCTAAATGACTAGTCCCACAGCTCGTTTATGAAAACGAGAAAAGAGGAGCGAGGTATTAAAATACGACTAGCTTTTTCGACTCTGATTCTTGGCGGTGGTTTGGAGTGGGACATGCTGTAGAGTGCTGAATCGTATGTATGCAAATTGAATTCAGCGCAAATTCGAATCAAACGCTTTTGCCCGTACCAACAACAAGCTGCATTTAAACTCTGTGTACACAGTCGTACTTCCAGCGACTAGTACATACGATTTTCACATAAGAGCTGGGCTCTGCGTCATCACGTAATGAAATAAATTACGATTTAAACAGTTGGAAATGCCTGAAGGATTATCATCAAGCCTCCAGACATACATCTAGTTTATTCTTTCATACAGTTCTGGTTTTTAATTAAATGTGTGCTCTTGGGCACACAAGGGATAATCTTGTTCCTCCAGTGTTCTTGAGTTTCTTGGTGCCCATTGCTATTAAGGATGATTCCCCACTTACTGTACATAGTTGGGGCACAAATTTAAATCACACACTCAGTCTGTATAACTGGGACTTTGCGATTTGCATATTACTACAATCCACAGATTGAATCTTCCTCTGCACACTTCTCAACCCCATCCAATTACAGCCTCCTACCCCATTAAGATTTTCTAGACAATTCGTGTCAGAAATTACGTAAACATTTAAAAGAAGCACGTATTTGCGTTGAAATCATTATGCCTTCAGTATAATTTCTCTGGATTCAGAATAAATATTGAATCAAATATTCTTTAATATTATTACAGGGGCCTTGTTATTTCAGTGTGATACTAATGAACTCGCTATGCTAAAACCCTTGTGATTCTTGTCCTGTGATTTTAGGTTTATTCTGTAACGTGATTTTTATCATGTTTTTAAAGTTGAAACTCCTTGTCATTATCAGCATGAGGGAAAAACAATATAACTCGAAGACAGCAAATGGGTACTTTGAAATGTGTCAAAATTGGCGACAATACATCAAAATTAAATTCGTGAGAGAACTAAAAGGATATTTAATTACAAAAATTATTGCTACCATTGATTTCTCTATGTCATCTTCCTATTCCCTATCAGAAAACATTTACACAAGGCCTGCTATTTCTTTAATTTTTCACGTCGTCCTAGAAGAAGGGCATAGGCTGAAAGTGTTAACGAAGTGCTGAGAACTTCTGGACAACAGACGAACTAGGAAACAAGAAGCTGGAGGAAGTAACACGAGAAAACTTCGTAATTGATGCTCTTGGCCTGTTATTATCAGGACGATTAAATCTGAGAATGAGACGTTACATCCAAGACGCCAAAGGAGATGAGAAATGCACTGAGAATTGAATTGAAGAACGTGGAGGAAAGAGCGTACCCGAGAGACATGGGCGTGGATGGGAGCATAATATTAAATCGGAATGAAGGGAGTAAAGAGTAGAAAGGGACGACCAGGTAGGATACAGAATGGCAGGGTGACAGACTTGATTTTAGGATCTCACAGCATCGAGTATGAAGATGGTTGCCTTGTGGGTTGTACCGTGTAGAGGTGCTTGCTTGCCTCCATCATCAGGTCGATGATCACCTCTGAAACTTCGGTAAACTTCTACCAGACTACACGGTACAACATACCAGAAGACAGGCATCTTCAGACATTTTAAGCCTTGAGAAGCCCCTGTGTTTAGCACAGTTGCTCAAAAGGGCTATAATTTCCGTGCAGCCATCTGTACAACGAGCTGGCTTATTGCAGCCTCCTGGTTAGAATACCAGATGTGGCGGAAAGGTACTTGCCTTCCCCTCCATACAAAGTGTCGTCTGCTATTTAAACAGAAGCAAGAACTTGATTTGCATCAGATTAGAACAGGGCGGCAGAGACGGATTCATGTCACCTGGGATACGAGGCTGTTCGATTTTTAGGTTATTTAACTGCAGAGGTGAATTGTATGGGAAAAACATTAATAAATTATGAGGAAATAATGTCCTACACTTTACCTGAAAGGACTGAGTCAAACTACAAAGTAACCTCAGTCCGGATTACTTTGCACATAGTAAAATATAAGGTAGACAGTTACCAATTAAAATGTAATTTATGTGCCAGGTATTAGACAAATACAGTCGTCTCTTTTGAGAACTCGATTAAGTATTTGAATAAAATGTTACAAATAAAATATCATTTGTGTTGCTTCTGTGCGTCGTTGTTTCTTTGCTGCATATCGCAACTGAGGGGAGATGAGAAATGCGAAACAAATATCGTTAGCCAAAAGAGAAGACACCACTCGAAAAACCTGGATGTAGATGGTAGGATAATAATGGCATGGACCTTATCAGAACCGGATTTTATATGTGAATTGGATTTATATACCTCAGGACGGATCGGTTGGCAAACCCTTGTGAACATCGTAATAAAGTTTAACGTTAGAGCCATTCACCTGTTTAAAAATGACCGATAATCTTTACGTTCTACTCATTGTGAACTAGGAGTCATTTAAACGATACAAAAAATGAACACGAAGAAAAATTGTTACCAAAATGTAGCATGTGGGCTTATATACGTTTAATTACTAAAACCCTCTGTAAATTTGAAAGTAGTAATACTAGTGAAAATTGTTTAAAGAGGCCTTAGAATTATACCATGCATGTCGAAACATGCAGCCGAATTGTGATAAAATATTACATAAATTTTTGTATAGACTGAACTCATTGTCAACGTTTGTGACCCCCAGCGACATGACAGTGACTTCGTCTCCCAGAGTTTGGCCTCTCTTTGTCCGTGAGGTCGAGTTTCATTATGGGCTTGCTCTTAGAGAAAGCCGATTAACATCGTTTCCAGCTAGTATGAACACTACATCGGTTAATCATCCCGATACAAAGAAAATGGCGGAGGGTAGCCGAAGTCCTCATATCCCAGGGATGAGAAGAATTGTTGACCCTAGAATCGTACGAGAATCTGACCCTTTCGGTACTGAGTTCAACTTAGAACAATAACACCTTCATTATAAGACTCTTATGATCTTGGATCGCTCTGTAACCTCGGCTGTGAGCTGAAACTCCGCTCTAAGCATCAGTGCATGTCCCCATGTTTCTGTGTCGTGTTATCATTTGCATGTGAAGGCCTTCAGATGGTCTGGTCTCCTATCCAAGTATGACCAACGTTTGAAGCAGGGACCAACAACATTTTCATTATCGCTGGCCACATCGGCTATTCATCAATGTCTTGGAAACCGAATTTAACTTAGAGTATATAGCTTATATTCTCTTGAGAAATTTTTAAAGTTTCGTTAACAGTCGTATTTAGGTACAAGGGACAAGTTTAAATTAATATATCCTATAATCAGACCATTTAATTATTTATTAGAAGTGGAAATAGTTGATTTATATTTTAACAAGAAAATTTCTTTTAGTCTCGTGATGAAATCGCTGGAACTCATTGGAACACGAGTTATTACGAGTTTAAACAGTGTGTATATACATTGCGTGAACACGAATGTCAGTGATGAAGTATGTGAAGTCAGAGTCGTGACGTTGATTAGGGTTAAAATAATCACTGTTTCTGAATCACAGACATGAATATGCATCGTGAACACTCTGAAGGTACCAGGTACGTCTCCTGGGGTTCAGCACTTCCACGGCTGGATTTACTTACGAGGTTCAGAGTTATCTCACCTCCAGACCTCAGTACTCTCTTGGGAGGCTAGCAACGATGAAATTCCCCCTGCTTTGTATCAGGATAGATCCTCGGTTCTTAATCTAGGCCTAGTCGAGAGACAGGTTTATTTGACTTTATGAATATTTTTCCGATTATACTTCAACTGGAGAGCTCTTTTTGGGCAGAGCAATGGACCTGTCGTAAGACAGAACACTTAATAATAATAATACTTCAACTCTACTATTTTTCTGTCTTTCGTCTTATGTTTATGTGATTTGGTTTAGGCTACTTAGTAACTTTGTGATCTGTGATCTTAAATATCAGGATAGTAAGCTTGATGAATGGTGTCAAATCTGGAAGGAAACGTCGTGGTGTATTTTAATGTCTAAAAGTAGAGAAGAAATACAGTAGAACTAAAGAAAGAAGTAAAGAGAGAAATTAGGATGCGAATAAAATAATAAAGGAAGAAAGAACGAAAATGGATGGAATGGGAGGGAACGGAGGATTGAATTTGTTCAGTATGTTGTGACGTACAGAAAAGGATAAATGATCGTCGGCTGTGGAAATTATGACTATATTCATGACAACGTGAGATGACGGACAGGTCAAGGTCATATCAAGGTCACGACAATATCAGCCCAATGGTTTGCGGGTTAAAGTACTTTGAACATTTCATAGGTTTGGTTAGGTTAGGGTAGGTTGGATTAAGTTATGTTAAGTTGAGTTGATTAAGGTTGGGTTAGGTTAGTGTAAGTTGTGTTACTTTGTTTTATTTTTTTGTTTATGTTTATGTTATGTTAGTTTATGTTTTGTTGGTTTAAGTAAGGTTTTAGTTAAGGTTTAATTATCTTACAACAGAACATTTGCGTTTGAAACAAATCCTTATATAACCCGATAAATATGTATTTCTGAATTTTGTGAGACGAATGAAAAAAGACTTTCAACTCTGAAAGATACATGCCACGCACATGTCAATATACGAGCAACAGGTGTAATTAAAGATTGTCGTTGCAACTTATGAGCAAGTTTCCTGTATCGAAGTTCGATACTCACTCAGAATATGACGAACTTGTTGCCACCCTGAAGGATTTTCCGCTATTCGCACCAAGATCTCCAAGAGACTTTCATCCGTCTTGGGACTTACAGCATCAACCATCTGCAAATAATTTATCAAATTAATAACGACGCTTCGATAGCCCATGTGGATGGATAACAAGTTCATAGTTGCTATGCAGGATTGAAATAGGCGTTGTATCCATAAGATTAAGAAGCAACCAGGTAGCCAGCCGAAGCTAGTAGAAAGACTTGTCGACACAGAAACCTAAACATAACCTGAATGAACTTACTGTAATCGAACGTACCACAACCAGACCCAACACGATAAGACATGAATAATATGGCAATATAACTCGCGGTACGGATTGCACTTTTTCTTAACTTGCTTGTGAATGTTTTCGTACGATGTGTTGATAACGGAATAAGGTGGCAGAACCTTCGACTTGTATTTTAGACCGTGATCTTGTTAAGAAATACTAAACTTTAAAATGTCTGTGAAATTGCGAAATGCTTTGAACACTCGTCTCCTCAAATTCGATTTTACAGCGTAATCAGTGTGGGCAACGAGCTTCACTTTCTGCATTTCAGTGGTCGAAGCCGGTCGCACTAAAGTTACCCCTCACCCTTAGCCGATACTGATTTTATTTGCGTCGTTACGTAACGTGACGCGTCGAAGTTCCGGCGCTGTAGCGGGAGGCTTTGTAAGGCCTAAAAAATCAGCCTGATGATGTAAAGTCATCGGCTATCAACCTGCTCGTTTGTCGGGAATCTTGGTGCTGTGTTTGACAATTATTGGGCTTGTAAGAGGCAAGACGCCGGTGTTCTGCGTTTTCGCAAACGGGTCAGTGATGCCTTGGTCATGCGATATGAACATTACAACTGACATGGAAGGAAAACAGCTGCTTAATTCAAGAGGATTATGACGGTATAACCATTGTATTGTATGGGCGAAGTTCAGGAAGTCCAGAGTACGAGACGTGTTAATGTAAATATTATATTATGTGAAAAATGTGATTTTGAAGCTGAAGAAAAATACGGATTTCGTTAAGCCTAGTGGGCCACAGATATAATGCGATTAAAGCTCAGTTCAAGATTCCGTAATTTTAAATGTATGAATGTATCATATGCGGTTATGACATCAGATATTTTATATGTAATTTTCGACTTTAATACACTATTATGCCCACCTTAATAAAAGCTCTTTACGTTCAGAATATGTAGGCGTATTACCACTCAAAATTTCAAGACCTGCGAGATATATTTTTCGTGTTTCTAGACCTTCAAGTCGCCGTATTGGTACTTAAATGAGAATTTATGCATTTATTGTTTATTTATTAGATTATTTACTGGATATAATGATAAAATTTTGTTAGAACGGTTTAAATCAATTATTTCCCGATTAGGGAGGAGAAAATATGATCATCAGTGCAATGACATAAAAGCAGGAAATTGAACCTGATGATGGTTACATTGTACCAAAAATATTTTGTTCTAGTGAACTGAGTGTGTTGAAACTGACGAAGAGCAACCAGAAATATACATACCGGGATGCTACATTACAGACTAAATGGACCATCGCCTGCTTCAATATGTTTAGGCCGTATGCTTGACAGGAAAGTCGGAGAAGTTGCCGCCCTGTCCCGGCGAACAGGAAACTCAACCGGTGTAATAGATAACATTGCTGATAACCAAAGCCACGCCCCATAACGAAATTTTATGACGTGACGATTAGGCGGAAGGACAAGGTCTGCTACATTATTATTGCCACCCTTCTCACATATTTACGTGCCACATATTCAGTACTGAACGATGAACTTGGTTGTTTAGAGAAAATATTAGTCTCATTACTTTCTGGCGTGTGATTTGAAGATTTTTTTATTTAAATATTTAGAAAAGCTGGAACCTCAGCCGTCTTAAAACACTGTTTTTTTCTAACTGAGCTACATGTGTGTGTTCTTCATATGATTTCACCTATGGAAATTAGTGGCACATTAATTGGCCAATTTTGGTGAAAGTCGTTATGAATAACATTCAATAACTTAACATTAAAAAAAAATTAACGTTTTATTCAAATTTGACTTTAAAGTTTGGTGTTATTATAATGTAATCCATACAGCTATTGTAAGTAGGAAATGCATCTCACCTTCTGAGGAATGTTTGCCTTCTTTCCCAGCTCCCTGACTTGTTGAAGCTTTAGAACGGTATCGAATTCCACTTCGTCCGATTCTTCGTGTTTCTTCGTAATCTTGTCGCTTTCCTCATTCCCTACCCTTTTGGTGATATTCCTGACTTTTGGATCCTCTGTCTCCGGACTTCCATTTCTTAGAAATGTCGCCAGATCTCGTTCCAGTATAGTGCGAGACGTGTCAGGGTTTTTTGTCGTGGTTAAGGGTGGCCACTCGCTTCTATTTCTCGCTCCAGGTGTTGAAACGCCTTCAGAATCGTTCTCTTTCCGCCGCCTTCCGTGCTCAACGCTGACCTCAAAATCTCTGAATATCTTCGGTGTTTGAAATGTTGATTCATCGGGGTTTCTTTGTGGTTCACTTTTCTTTGCATTTTCTGGGAGATTTAGTTTTGTAGACTCCTCGGCTTCATCTCCATCTTCGTCATCATTGTCATCATCATCATCATCATCATCGTCGTCGTCGTCGGTGTCGTCGTCGTCATCATCATCATCATCATCATTTTTCACTACTGAATTGACATCATTCTTTTCAATAACAGCCTCGTTTTCTGTGTGCTGTTCAGTGGTGCTGCCGTCTGTTGGAGAAGGGTTTGAGCCATCCCCACTTTGTTCTGCTTTATCGTTTCTCATGCCCATGTTGTAAGAATCATCATCTCCATCCCAGTTTGATCCAGCCTCCATTTTGTCTTCAAGTTCCTGCCCTAGTTGCAGCTCAGTTCTACCGGTGATGGTTGTTGGTCCTTCAAAATATACTTCTGCAAACGTCCGCATTGTGCCCGTGGTAGAGCGCTGGTGTTGCAGATCTTCAGCTGTGTCAAGTTCTAACAAATGTAGTGGGATATCTAGAGGACGGACCTCTGTTAATTCTTCATCCAACTCTTCATTTGTATATTCTGGCTGACCTGGAACAATCACATAAATAACGAGTCAGACTTTAACAAAATCAGAAGCCAGGCGAGTCATGGATCCCATGCTGGTCTTCTAGACGTGTTGGCAGATAAGAGCAGAAGGTAAAATTGTTTATAAATAATTTTTTTTAAGTAGCTAATTAATGGAATTATGCCACTACCGTATTTATGGTAAGGTTAGACTTAACAATTCTTGTTTTGTTCCGTCTGTAATAATTATTTGTCACGCTGTCAGTCGCTTGTCATATCCAGTAAAAGTAAAGTTTGTCCCACTATACGCCAAGTAGGCGTTTGGGGTGAGTGGAGGTATAGCTCCTCTCTTCCTTGACCTCGGCACTAGATGGGGGGTGAGTGGTCAGCATCACGCCCCGGCCGGCTTTACCCCCGGGAAAGGACCCCGGTACCCATTGTAGAGGAGGCTGGGTGGGCCCCAGAGCAGGTCTGGACGCAGAGGCTAGAGGGAAAAATCCTCTGCCCCCGTCGGGGATCGAACCCCGGTCGTCCAGCCCGTAGCTAGTCACTATACTGACTGAGCTATCCCGGCTCATTGTCATATCCAGTAAGTCGATTAATTAACTACAAAGAAATAAAGTTAATCGAAATTTCATTTTACTTTTAACGTGTGTTGTAACTATTTCTTCCTTCTTTTGGTATCAGGTACCGTGTGAACACTTACTGTTTTTTTATACTCAATGCCTTGTAAACGATTTAAGCACAACTAACTCTGGAATATTTGATGTTTCAGAAACGTAAAGATAATGGGAAATAAATCCCTCTGAAGTCTAGCGAAATTGGAGCTTTGTTGGCTGCTAAATTTACAGCTATGTTTTAGTTTCTGATTCCATTAATATCGTAATCCTAGGAGGAAGCTGTGAACATACTCGAGCGTTTTCATAACGAGCTGTATTCATAATATGGCACTCCAATTATTTTGCCAGTATCTGGAGAGCAGCTAGAACAAAGTATACCTTGACGTGTTTTTGCTTCCAGTCCCTCTTCGGTCATTATAAGGATTCGCGTGCGACACAACTGGACTTTTCTCTGGCTTTCGAGGCACCAAGATCATCAGGAACGGGGAAGTACAAAGCACAACCATCACTGCACATAGAGAACGTCTGTAGGAGACGTCGGTGTCTGTCTATTTCTCGCGATTCTCCTCTGAAACTACTGAACGAATTTACATTTGATATTTTTGGCCTAGTGCCACGGTGGTCTAGCGGTTAGAAGGCTGGCCTTGTAATCCTGGGGGTCTCGGGTTCGATTCCCGGCGGTGCCCGAATTTATAACTTGTGTTGGGCAAGGCCGTGGTCTAGGCAACACGGAGTTTTCCTCCGTGGCATCCCAACAATTACTCCATTCACACACAGAAGAAGGCAATGGCAAACCACTTCTGGATCATCTGCCAAGAACGTATATGAACAGGTCCCAGTCCGAGAAAAGGATGGAAGGATCCTGTTCATATGGACCTGTCGTCAGACAGAACACTACAAATAAAAAATAAATAATTTTTTTTTGGCCTATCTTAAAGTGATGAAAAAGTTTTACCACTTTAAGATTAAGCGTCGAATTTGAAGATGACTTTTCTGGAATATTGCCCCGTGCCAATAGAAATGGACTGAAATCTTGATGGCGGATGCACTCAGCACCCCTGAAACGTCGGTCAGTGTCTGCCACACTACACAGTTCAATAACTCATAAGACAGTTATCTCGGTTTTACCCGTGTCTCGTCACGATACCATGAACGTTGTCACTAGACCGATGTGAGTGGCAGCTTCACGTTTCGTCCTATTAATTCTTGTGTAATTCACACTAAGACAGGGCAAATACCTAAGTGGCTAGCTACAAGAGACGGGCTATACGTGATATCATATTCTCTCTGAGTTTGTACCGAATAAATCAGATTTATAGTTTGTGAAAATCAAAGGTGATCATTACATGTACCTTGTTCTAAAATTTGCAAGGGCTTGTTATTGCATTGTTCTACAGCAGTCTTTTTGATGTCTATTACGATGCACTGCACATAAGATGGCTCACTAGATAATTTAGTAAGCCTCTTCAAACACATCTTGAATTAGGCCGCATGCACTTAATTCCATACTTTCAGTTCAGTATTCATTAATTATTTATTGATTAATTTTGGAGTAATGGGTTTATATCGGTAGCAGATGAACATCATAGTCACTAAACTGAGCAAAACATCGAATAAAGCATTTGGAAAATACATGTACTTTATTATAACATTAATATAAATAATTCTGTAACTAAGTGACCGTATAATGGGGAATTCATGACAGTTTTTACACATATTTCATATTCCAAAACCTCTCAAATTTGGCGTGAGAGATCTATGAAACTGTTGGATACATTTGATTTTTGTCAATAAAATTCTACTAAAACCCTACAAAATTATCGATTAACTTTTAGATCAGGCTGTTCTGAACTTGTTTTCTGGAGGTAACCAGTTTTAACTCTGCTGGGTAACTTACTGGCTGTTATTACAAATATATTTAATATTTTTGTGGATTTTATCAGTCTCTTTCGGCCGAGAAGGTGTTCACAATCACCTCATCTGTAAGTCTCGCAACCAGCCGCTCTCTGTTCTCTGCATTTAAAGCTTTGTGGTTGTTCTAAATAACTTAGCCTTCTCCGTCAACGTCTAACTTTATTCAGGCGTGTTACAGCGCAGAAGAAATATCTGGTCACAGCAAAGTGTTTCTAAGAACAATTTGTACACCGCCAGAAGAGACGGGAAATTCTGAAGTCTTGCCAGAGCTGGAGGGGATAAGAGTGGAAGAAACCCTAGTCAGTTCCGATTACCCCCCCCCTCCCCCCAAAGCAAGTTGGTGTTTTCCTTGCAGCCACGTATTGGTTTGTCGGTTTATGTGATTTCTCGACTGACGGGGTCACTCCTTTGATTCGAATTAAGTTTAAGGATCGTGTCCTTAGAGGAGGCAAATCAAAATGATCCTCATGAGGAAGTTAGGAGGAGATTAAATTCTGGAAATGCTTGCTACTTCTCAATTCAAAATATTTTGTCTTCCCGTCTGATTTCTAAGAACCTGAAAATTAAAGTATACAAAATAATAATATTGCCTGTTGTTTTGTATGGGTGCGAAACATGGTCTCTCACTCAGAGGGGGGAACACAGATTGCAGGTGTTTGAGAATCGGGTGTCGAGGAGGATATTTGGGCCTAGGACAGAAGACGATGGGGCGTGGAGAAAACTGCATAATGATGAGCTTAAAAATCTGTACTTCTCCCCCAATATTGTCAGGGTGATTAAGTCGAGAAGAATGAGATGGGCGGGGCATGTAGTGTGCATGGATGGGACAAGAGGTGTGCACCGGGTACTGGTTGGGAAGCCTGAGGGGAAGAGACCGCTGGGGAGACCTAGACATAGATGGGAGGATAATCTCAGGCAGGATCTATGGGAGATAGGAGTTGAAGGAGACTGGATTTTGTTGGCCCAGGACAGGGTCCGGTGGAGGGCTTTGGTTAATTCGGTGATGAACCTTCGGGTTCAGTAAGCCATCTAGTTTGTTAGTAAGTCCTTAGAGGAGATGTTTGTGGCCTCTTTCAAAGAGTAATCACAGATGGGCGGATTTGCCGAGATGACGGAAATCCTCACCGCTGAATGTAAAGAAAATCTTGAAATGATTCTTTCATAAATTGTAGGCCACTCCTCATCTAGTCTTATTAAATCAAGAAAAGTGCATCATGTAAAGGTGAAACAAGGAACGTGTTCACAATTTTGATTGGTAAACTTGAAGACGAGATTAATGGGGATCTAGGAGTATACAGGAAAATACTTACAGGGTCCAGTGTCTTAATCATATGCAAGAACGAATCCTTTCGGATTCTGCGGAGTATCTGTAGTGTGATTTGGCAATGAATAAACATAAAGAGCAGTGAGATTATTATTATTATTATTATTATTATGTGTTCTGTCTGACGACAGGTCCATATGAACAGGATCCTTCCATCCTTTTCTCGGACTGGGACCTGTTCATATACGTTCTTGGCAGATGATCCAGAAGTGGTTTGCCATTGCCTTCTGCTGTGTGTGAATGGAGTAATTGTTGGGATGCCACGGATGAGATATGAAAAATAAACGCTTATGAAAACATGCAAACCCCCCTTCCTCTCTTACGGTGGCGGGAAAATAAAAGATTGTTGAATTAGTTGAATGAACTCTGAATTAAAAAAAAGGAAATTTTCACACTCAGTTTGGTCCAACTATAGAAGAAATCCTATATAACGCAACTAATCTCACAAAGTGCGTCCAACTTGAAGCCACAAAATACTTAAAAGGAAGTGGAATGAAGGTACGAGGAATGGTTTTGAGAGGGACGAGGAAGGAGAACAAATGAATAGCTGCATGCGCCTCAGTAGCGATGAAAGCTTTAGGAGGCTTTGTTCGAAATAACCACTTCTTGCGGCCGTAAATTATGTGCCTCAGTCAGACCAAAGCTATCCATAATAACCGGCAAGATCGTTTAACACAACATTATGTGGGCTCACTCACGGCGTCCTCTGTTTCTTTGCCGTTTTAGTAATTTGGGCTGTGGTATTATTCCGCCTGGAGTAGAAGCCGGATTTAGCCGTAAACTCCGATGTCATGTTCCCATTACCACAGACTGCTGGTCGGCTTGCCCGCACGGGCGAATGGGCACACAGAGCTGCCTCTAATTCTAGTGGGTTTCTTTACATTTCATCACTTTTCGTCCACACAGTTGGCTGCATTGCGAAGTCCAGTGGCGAAATTCTGTGTAGTGGAATTAAAGGGATCGCGCCGTAACTCAGGGCGGCTGGACGTTGGCTTCTCACAACGGAGACCAGGGTTGAGTCTCGTGTGACTTCAAGAGACATTCGTGCCGGACGTGAGATAACCCTCACTTTATCATACCTTGGTTGTTAGTTGGGAGCTCCGCGTCTGACCCGGAACTTGGCTGGTCTCGGAGCAAAGGTGGTTTAGTTCTAAAATTAAAGGCTCGACTAGGGGCGGGGGGATGATTGTGCTTTCTTTTTATCTTTCTTTCACTGTTTCTTTCCTTTCTTTTATTCCTTCTGTAGCCTGTGTTGTATTTAATGTTTCATCTTTAATAGACTTCGTACTTATTTCTTTCTCACAATGGCAGAAAATGCAATTTTCGGAATCAGTAATTTAATTTTCTCTTTTCATTCTCTGATAAGATCGTTGTAGGGTTTTATTTCTTTACAGTTTGTGACGTGTGAAGCTCTCACGACGAATTGATGCACCAAAATCCTCTAGGGCGATCGGCAGCTTCAATGATGAGATAAAACCAACGTTTCGTATGCTTGCTGTGTGGCCATCATCAGGGTCATTGTGGAGAAAAGGCCGTGAGCCACTGACAGATGTCTGTAGATAAATCGGTCAGTTACAGCTCGGATCTTTCCCGTTTTGTCTCGGTTCCCTGCCGCTTCGTGTGGCGACTGTCGCCGTCTGTCGATTGGTCGTCCGTCTTCGTTTTTGTGTCATCCTGGTTTCTAGCCAATTATTGAACGTCACTGTTGAATGGTTAGCATTCGTGCTTGGTATTCCTGAAGCCCCAGGTTCTAATCTCGACCTGAAGACCGGTTATTCTGTAAGTTTTTCGTGTTTTCTCTTCAGTCCGTCCAGGCATATGTCAGGATAGTACCCTAAACTAGGTCACGATCGCTTCCTACCTTATCCTTCCCTCTGTATTAATAATATTATTATTGACGCCCTAATATAATCCGAGTTACTTGTAGCACTGTTAAATAAATAACAAATTCATCCATTCGCACTACTTCACAGCTGAACTATGTATTTTACTGTGTGCTATCACAGTGACACAGATATCAGTGGCGTCATATATTAGGCGAGGTGGCCTACTAACGATAGAATCAAAAGTATCATAAATGTTTGATCCGTAATTATCGAATGCGGGTTGTTGCTAGCCTAGACCAAAACACATTTTACATTTATCCAACTCATTCATCCAGGTCCGTTGAAATAGTA